TTTCTAGTGGCCCGAAACTGCCCTTCAAACGCCTCAAACCCCTCAAACCCCTCAAACGCTCCGACACTTGCCAATGGTTGTGCCATACGTCTGGATTCTGGACGCTTCAGACGCTCCATGGATGCTTCAGACGCTCCAAAACCTCGCACTTGCCAGACTGTGGGCTCTGGGCTCTGCGAGCCTGTGGGCGGAGTTGCGCAGATTGTGGGTTCGGGGCTCTGGCGCGCCAAATACTTTTGGAGTTGCGCAGGCTGTGGGCTCGGGGCGCTGGCGCGCCGGAGCAGCCAGCCTCTGGATTCTGGACGCTTCAGACGCTCCAAAACCTCGCACTTGCCAGACTGTGGGCTCTGGGCTCTGCGAGACTGTGGGCGGAGTTGCGCAGGCTGTGGGCTCGGGGCTCTGGCGCGCCAAATCCTTTTTTTCTAGTGGCCGAGGCCAAGCAGATCCAGAGCGTTTTGCCGTGGCTCCGCTGCCTACTCCTGCACTGCAGCCTTGCCTGCGTCAGGCGGGAGCCTTGGGAGGGAGCCTCTGGAACGTGCAGCCTTTGGACTACAGCCTTGGAACTGAGCCTCTGGAACCTGCCACCTCGGCCTGCGCCTCTTTTCTTTAGCGTCCCGAAGGCAACGCGCCAGGCGCCTTCCCGGCACCTTCAAACCCTTCCCGGCACCTTTGGCTTAGGCCCCAAGCGCACTTTTGGCCTACTCCTGCACCGCAGCCTTTGCGTCAGGCGGGGGTCTGGGGAGGGAGCCTCTGGAACGTGCAGCCCATGCACTGCGGCCTTAGAACTGAGCCTCTGGAACCTGCCACCTCGGCCTGCAGCTCTTTTTCCCGAAAGCCTTGCGAAGGGTTCTTCCGGAAAATCCTTTGAACACTTACACTTCGACACTTACACTTACACACACACACACTGGAAGAGCGAAAGCATCCAAGTGCGAAGTATGCCAGTGTCAAAGTATGCAAGTGTAAGTATGCAAGCATGATATGCAAGGGTAAGTATGCAAGCATGATATGCAAGGGTGAGTATGCAAGCACGCAATGAGTCTACAGGCATGCAATGAGTAGGCAAGTGTGAGTATGGAAAACTAGCACGGGAGATGTCCTAATGAAAAAACATTTCCCCACTTTATAATTCTCTCTTAAAGGCGGAGTGCGGGACGAACAGCGTCAACAGAAAGTGCAACCCTCTGCGGAGATCGTGCGCGTCGAGTGCGCGAAATGCAGGCGAGAGTGCGATTTGTCCGGTGTGCGCGCAACCCTCTGCGGAGATCGTGCGTGTCGAGTGCGCGAAATGCAGGCGAGAGTGCGATTCGCCGGCTGCGCGCGCAACCCTCTGCGGAGATCGTGCGTGTCGAGTGCGCGAAATGCAGGCGAGAGTGCGATTCGCCGGGTGTCCGCGCAACCCTCTGCGGAGATCGTGCATGTCGAGTGCGCGAAATACAGGCGAGAGTGCGATTTGGCGGATGCCTGCGCAACCCTCTGCGGAGACCGTGCGCGTCGAGTGGCGAAATGCAGGCGAGAGGTGTGGAGTATCTGGGGAGCTGGGAGATGAGCACTGGTGACTTTGTAGTACAACTGTAGTACGCGGAGTAGCTGGGGAGCTGGAAGCTCAGAACTGGTGACTTTGTAGTACAACTTTGGTACGCGGAGGAATCTGTGGAGCTGGAAGCTGAGAACTGGCGACTGC